AAAGACTACTTGTATAAATTGCTGTTCTGCAAATAAGTAGGGGACCCTTTTATAAGATAATACTATTTGGTGAAATTAAAATGGTAAGATAAATGTTATCAAAAGTTTGGGAATGTTTCAGCTTTATTTTATTGATAAATATACTATTCATCTGTTACTATTTTTTCAAAAATTCATTTCATAAAAGCTGCTAGTTAAGATTAGAGTTTATGCTTGACTTTTCTACAGGACCAGGTAGAATATAAAGTTAAATACAGTATTAGAAAAAAATATTTGTTTCTCATTTTTTAATACCAGAGTTCCTCAGATTTGTGACCAATTAAAAATTACCTAGTGAGGTGGGAAAATGACAATCCAACATATCAGTATCAGACTATTGATACACGTTAGACATTGCCTTAATAAAAACAAGCATACAAAACTGTAGATAAAGGCTAAAGAACAAAAGAGATGTTAATATTGAGGAATCTTGTCTGGATTGTGACTTTCCCCAAAGTCTTGGGACTACAATTCTCTGATTTACCAGTTTTGATCATTCTAATAACAGCTATAATTTATTTTCCAGCGAACTTTATATCAAGATCAAGATAACAAATGAGATATGCATTTTTGAATTTGGTCATCTGTTGAGATATGGGTTAAACAGGTCAGTGTGCCAAATTGAAGATGATATTGCAGTGATGTTTCTGGGTTGGCCCAAAAGATTAAGGGAAAAGTGGTCAATAAAACCATTGCAAAGTTATTTAAAACATTTCAATACCATGGGTCATGCCACACATTTGCAGTCAGGGTACAACATTAAATACATTCTATACAATTAAAAAGATGATTAAAATTAATGAAACAAAGCATATCAAATAAAGCAGTAGACAGGATTTGTGGTACTTGAGATCCATATGCCAAAATAAGAAAGTTTCTAACATGTGAATCAGAGGTGATATTCAGCAGGTTCTGACCACTTCTGGAGAACCGGTAGCAGAAATTTTGAGTAGTTCTGATAACTGGCAAATATCACCTCTGACTGGCCCCACCCCCATCTATTCCTGCCTCCCGAGTCCCAGCTGATTGGCTGGGTCTTCTTTTGTTCCCCTGCACAGGAGAACGGAGCTGGAAAGCTGGTTAGTGGGGTGGGGAAGGAATGGGGATTTTACAGTATCCTTCCCCTGCCACATCCACAAAGCCACGTCCACAGATAGTAAATTTTTTTGAATCCCACCACTGATGTGTATCAATTCTGAAGCAAGGTTAGCACATGCTTTTTATCTCTGGGGAATGTGCTTCACAGAACAGATGCCAACATGGCTAGGTGGCCTAATGGTGAAGATGCTTGCCCTCCACTTGAAAGGTTGAGAGTTCAATCATAGGTAGCAGCAGATTTTTCTTTCTTAGGGTGAAAAGAAAAAAATATGTGCCACAAAGGGGATCCACCAAGTAAACACTCAGCTTCATCCAGTCGCCCCAACCCTATTCTGAATTAAGGGATTACAGGTTCATAAAAAGGGTTTTGTTTCGTTTTTAACCAGTGGATGCCAATATAAAAAAGGCTCTTCTTGGTAGATGCCCAACAAATATTCACCACCAGGACAAATTCCATTGATAATCTGATGAACAGACTCCTGTAGGAAAAAGTATTCTCTCAGGAACCTTAGTCCCAAGGAATTTAGGTCCTTATATGTAGAAGCAGCTTGTGGAACTTTTTCAGTAAAGGTGTTATTATATTCCAGGAATCAGGCACTCTGCAAAATTACCAGTAGCAGTTTATCATGGTGCTCTTTCAGCCTCATAAATGAACCCATAAATAAATGACCTGCTTTTTTTACAATCACTTTTTATCACCTGGAGGACATAAATGGAAAGCTGTATTTCTATATTGGGTGCAAAATAGGAGCCTTACCTCATTAAGTAGATTAGTTTCTGCACTAATTAAAGAGAATGAATGGAATGCACCTTTCTTCTACTCTCGGCCCACTTTCTCACCTGCCTGCCTGCAACTTCGGTTCTCTATGGCCGACAGGTAAAATTAAGATCAGTTTGAACTCTTGATATTTTCTCCCTATCTGAAAAGTAGGGTCAGCTGATCCAATGGGAATACCTCCTGAATCAGCTTCATCAATATATATTTTTCTTAAACGAACCAAAACATATTCTGGAGTTTTCTGTCCCACTTTTGAATTGGTTGCCAGAATGTGCCTAGAAGTCAATTGGAAAAGGGACAGAAGCCAACATTCCAGTAGATATTCCCCCTCATTTCATCTGTCGAGCTGTTTCTATTCCCATGAGGGCTTGTCTTGTTTTGGGATAGGTGACCAAACTTTAAGAGTACTAGGACTCTGGATGCTTCACATTGCCATGATTTATTTTACCAAGGTAGTTACAAAGTTACTAATTAAGGTGACTTAATTAAGGTAGTTACTAATTAATGATAACCTCATTAGAGGAATTCTGAGTCTGCAGACACAGACCTTCTCTTCCCCTATTTTTTTTTTCCTGAGCAGGTGTGCATCCTTCCAATCAAAGTACCAAAATGCAGAAAGATGGCATTTTTAATTTCTAAAAACTCTGTAGGGCCTTCTTGGGGCCTATGGGCTTTGTCTAAATAAGGATGGTTGCTGCAACTCCTTGATTTAATTTTCTTCATGTGTTTAACCAAATAAACTTAGAAAGGGCCGGGGAAGGACCTGAAGGTAACCTGGAAGCGTCTGCAGACACACAGAGAACAAATATAGGCTATACCCAATGTTTCTCAACTTTAAAATGTGTGGACTTCAACTCTCAAAAACCTTCAGCCAAAAACACAGAACTATACTGAAGAAGCTCAGAGAGTACCTCTGTCACATTCAGAAGAAGCAGGGTGACTTATATTAGGCAGTACAAATTGTATAGCATATACATTTAACTCTGCCTCCCAATCTTCTGCTGCCAGTCTCAGTATCTGGAGTTTTAAACAGATGCCTTTTTGCCTGGGGTGGGGTGGAAGCTGAAATTGCCTAATGACAAGCCTGACCTTATGCATTTCTCTCTGCACTGCCTGGAGCCTGCCTGTGCCTCTTATTTGTTGTGTGTATGTATGTGGATGAGACATTAAAAAAAACCCTCACATTATATCAATCTGGACAGCCCCATTTAATTATTAACTGGGGGAAGGCAAATTTTAAAGGGACTAGAAATCAGCCACATTTCTAGTTCATGAAAGCCCTGAAATGCTTGGACATCCCATGTTATCAGTTGCAGTAAAAGGAGAACTACAGAGTCAGTGTTGTGTTAGTCTATAGTAGCCAGGAATCTGGAGGGATCTGGTTAGTGGGAAGAGAAGGCAGGAAAAAGGACAGGCAAGCCCTCAATATTTTATTACAGGCATTACTAATGCGGGAGGAAGAGGTGTGTTTATATATATGATAAAGAATTTCTCACTCATACAGGGAAGTTACAGTGGGAAAAGGTATTACTTTTTCTTTTTCTCTATTGTACAGATTTATCTAAGCATAGCAAGCAAGGCAAAAGAAGAGAAATCCTGCATAGAATAGGCAGCTACAATCAAACCTAAACTCACTTCTCCCCATGTTCAGTACTCTCAGGCCTGAAAAGCACAATGATCTATTCCAAGTTGGCAACTGCCCCATACAAAATAAACTCTTAAAGGGTATGGAGTTGCACTTCAACACAGTCACAATCTAATTTTGATCCCCAACATTAAGGTGACAGCACATAGTGCAGTGTTACCCTCCTAGTCTCCTCACTTGGACAATGTAAGAAGTTCAGCTAAATTTGCACTCTTAAAGCTACTTATAGGAGTAAACCCTCCCCTCTTGTATTTGACATGAGGCACATTAAAACAGGACTTGATTTACATTTATATTTTTGTATCCAATCTTTATTACTTTTACAAATAACTTAAGGCTGCAAACATATCCAACAGCACTTATTCCTATTTTCCCCACAACAACCCTGTGAGGTGAGTTGGGCTGAGAGTGAGTGACTGGCCCAAAGTCACCCAGTTGGCTTTCATAGTTAAGATGGGATTTAAACTCAGTCTCTCTCACTTACTCACCTGGTGCAGAGTTTTCACATTTAGCAAGCATATCTGCATTGCAATGCTACATGGCTCAAATTGCCATCAACCCAGGCCAAATAGGTTTCTTTTCAGTTTCCCCCTGTCCAAAAACAATTCCCTGCATTTCCTGTATTTGCAAGGTAAACACCATTTTTGTATGCTAAGGTATGGATCACTGCTTCCAAACTTTAATAATACATAAGTATTATTTAAAGCAAAGCAGAAGGCATTGCTTCATCCTTACAACGTTCTGCAAATGTAAATAGTTTCGCAATAAAAATGCAAACTCAGATAGCAAAAGGGAGTCCCGATCTTAAGCTACCAGACTATTCTGAATCCTTTCTTCCAAAGGATTTTATTTGAGGAAGGTTAAAGTAGGACTGATCTCTCGCTTTCAGTTCAGTGTTGGAAAAACTCATTCTCACAAGTGCAGGGAAAAGAATACCAAGATGGGGATATTCAGAAATATCTACAAAATACTTAAGTTTATCTGCATTAGGACCAGCTGATTCCAACTTTCTTAATCTGTAAACCATGGTTTACAAATTCTCATTGTGCCTGACCCAGACTTACTCTCCGCACTACAAATCAGACCTTGGTAACATAATATACCGGTACTTCTGGTGAACAGAAAACCCCCCCAAATCACCAGAGTTTCATCACAGATAAAGTGGTCACAAGTGGATTACAAACGAGAGGATGGCCAAATTACGTTTTGCCACACAAACGTCCTCTCCCAAAGTTACCCGGAAGAATGCCAAGTCCCTTCCCTTTTCAACTTTTCAACTTTGTCAACCAGCTGCTGATAATCCATCCCTCTTTCTTTAAAGCAAAGCACCTGCAGCAAACCCAATCCGAACCATTATTTGGGACATAAAATACGGAGGCCACCTACACGCACCCCCTTTTCAAAAGGAAAATCGAAGAGCCGCGATCGGAAAGGACGTACCCGGGTTATAATTAATGGCTGGTTAAAATCGATGCCTCCCGACAGCCTGAAGCCCCAAGGCGGAGGTCCGGGAAGAAGCACGTTTTGTGGCATGTTTGCGGCTACTTTGCGGGCCGGGGGGGGGAAAGCTATGTCCCGCGGACTCTAGCTCTGCTCCTAAGGGCGGCTTCGCTGTTGCGATCGAGAGTTCCCGGCGCTCAGCTTCGCTCTGGCTCGCCGCACAATCCCCTTTGCTCCTTCCGGCGACGAGAACACCTCTTATCTGTTCTTGGCTGACGTCAGCAGGCCCGCGTCCCCTCCGCCCCGAGCAGGAGGGCCAACTTTGGTCAACGAAGGGCCGGGCTGGAAAACTCGCTCGCAGGCTGCGTGCTTGGCCGCTTCCCGGGAGTCTTCCCCCGGCTGCGCTCTCGCAGCTTCGAGTTACAAGCCTCCTCCGATTTTAGCTCTGCCTTCAGCCTGCCGGGCGGTGAGGTTTCTCCCCCTGAGCGGCTTCCGCCTTAGAGCCCGACGTTTCTGGAAGGGACAAGATTATAAACACTCTGGGAAGAAAGAAAAAAACAAATATGGGGCGTCGCTTAACCCGTAATAAAGGCCGTAGGGTCCACCTGCCTCGCTTTCTCCGGCTTTTCTTTATTTAGTTGGATTCCCCTCCCAGTTCAAAATTGAAAGCTCCTCGGGGCAGGGTGTTCTTTTTGAAGTTTATGAAGATCAGACGTATAGCTGGTATTCCCAGCATGAATCCTTCGCGAATGGGCAATTCGATCAAGCACTTATTTCTTCTTAAATTAAAACCACCAACGTCTGCCTTCCAACAGATGTTAAGATTTATTCATGTGATCTAAACTTGTTTACTCAGCCCCTTGGGCAAAATGGAACCTCCTCAGCTTTTATCCCATGTGGCTCTATCCTCCTTTTGAGGATTTTGGTGGGGAGATAAATTTAGGGTTGCCAGATGGTCTGAATGTCACTCTCGCCAGCTTCAGCCAATCTGATAAAAGATTTAAGGATTTGCACCCCAAAACGTCTGGTAGGCAGTAAATAGCTTGTCGAGAAGTTGATTGTCTAATTCTTCCCACCCCAATCTGCAGTTGTGTAGGTGCTTACATGAGAGTAATCCCCATTCAATTACAATATGCAAAATATCAAATTATGGCAAATCCATTCTACCACTGGATCTGGACATGATACTTGTTGAAATTAGCCTAATATTTAATGAGTTAGGCTTGGAGAAAATCAGTGTAATGTAGAGTTCATGCTGGTTTGGTTATATTCATACTGAGATGCTAAACAAAAGTGCTTAAAGATCTAATTTTCCATTTGAATGTAGACAGGTTTATTCAACCACATTATGTCCAATCCTCAAAGGCAGGGTTCCAAACAAGGTTTACTTGTGGTTAACTCATCTTTGCTTCGATTTATTCATATCTAGAAATTAACTTTTTGTGAATTTTTTCTTCAAGCCTTTGGTAACAGGTGCCCAAGGAAAATAGGAACAGAAGAAGACACAGAGCTATAATAAGCACTCCACCTCTGTGTTTGATGGAGTCATTTTTAAAAAAAACCTTCAAAGGGACATCCGCAGGGATGGGCAAAAAGCCAAAGTGGCAGTTATAAATACATGATTGAAGCACAACCCTCTAGCCGTGTGTGCAACTGTCATCTTTTTTGAATTTTCCTGGGGTGGTTCTGGGAAGTAACAGCTGGCCACACTCAAGTATCCCACCCTGAGTTGGGATACTTAGAGTAGGTGATCCCAGCAAATGGATACCACATTGATTTTTCTGGCTTGGATCATGGACTTCATACTAGATAAATCTCCAAAGATTAGATGTATAATGATCATAACACAGTGCCTGAGAAGATTTGTATTGGAGACCTTCTAATCCACCTCCTAATGAAGCAAGGAGGATACACTGGGATGTCAAACTCACGCCTTTGTGTCACGTGACATCGTGACTTTCCCCCCATTTGCTAAACTGGGTGTGGCCAGTGCATGATGCATCTGGCCTGCAGGCCACGAGTTTGACAGGGCTGTGCTAGATGCAAGCACATGAGCAGTCTCCTTATGATCCTCAGCAGCTAATGTTCAGGTTTATTGAGTTATAAAATTTTGTAAAATAGAAAAGTAAATAGAAAAGCAGTGGGGAGGAAAAGGAAAGAGAAGTGAGGAAGGATAAGAAAAAAAGAAAAGAAAAAGATTGACTTCTGATTCTCTGTTGCAGTAAAAGAAGGCATTAACATCAAATCACAACTTTTTGCTTTTTTATAATAATATGAACCAGCCATTTCTGTAAGGATCTCTATCAATCTACTTGGTAAAACCCAAAATCAAAGTTTCATTCTTTTCCACTTCAAGCATGAAGTTCAGAAGTGGTCTCCAAGTGGAAACATCTCAGCAGCCAATGTTGTGCAACTTTCTGACTGGCCTTTTTGTACACTTTCTTTTGTTATGTTTATTTCAATCTAAAGGAAAAAAAAAGGTACTCTAGGTCAGTTCTGATCGGAGTGACTGTAAGTCCTCTAAGTTAAATGACCCCTAAAGCCACATCTGTTGATAGCTAACTAGTACAAACCAAAATTATTTGTATGTACAATGATGACCTGATATGTTCAATGTGGCCATTTATGTCATTGGAATTTATACATCTCAGTCTTTTGCGTAATGTTAAATAGAATCAGCTAATTATGGCTGATTAAATAGTTAAATCAGAGTTTACTATGATATGTGAACCCACTTTCTATGTGCTCTAACACAATGGGAAATTATTTAAATGTTATCGTTAGCTTTTATGCCTTCACTAAACAGCTAGTGTGTTGCTTTCTGAAGTCTTTTATGACGATCCTGGTTAATTTATGAAGAGCGAAAATAGCTATTTTGATTGAAATAACATCTTCTCAAAAATGAGATAGGATTTGTCACTGGTTGGCACGGACTTTAAAAGATTCTGGCTGAGTGATCAGCTGATATGATTCAAGTCTGGATAACATTTTCACTTATTTCCCTGGAGAGTTGGTTTAATCCTTCACGGTTGCTCGACCAAGGTTGACCATATTTCTTAGTTCTTAACAAACAGTAGCAGCTGCAGGACAAATATGGTGGTATGTCTTCTGTCTATATGTGGGATGCAAGCCAACACTTGAGCAGTTACAGAATCTGGTTAGACATATTGAAACTTTTGCCTGAGTTGGCAGATACAGTGATTTAGATTGTGGTAGACAAAGCAAATAGTTCCACCCTCCTTTGTCTAACCTGTGCAGGATCTGTGTGCAGTCTCTTTGGTAAAAGAGGTAGTGAATGACAATAATTTTCTAAAATGTAGTTTTACTTCAAAGGTCCCTGACACAGGATAAACATAGTTTTATCTGTCCTTGATGTATATATATGTCCTTGATTCATATATATATGAAACAGGTATTTTAACAATTTGTCATAACTGAGAAGAAATTGGGAAGTTACTGAAAGGCCATATATTTTGATGATCTCAATTGTGGGTTCCAATTGCTGCTATGTTATTTGTTTTTTGAATGTGATATTTGTCATGCACTTTAGGGAAATTTAAATGATGTTTGTATGCTTGTGCATATTCAAACATTTGTTCTTCAACTTGTGTCCTTAAAAACAAACCAGCTGTTTCCTGTCTTCTGGGAAGCAATTAGAAGTTTTTATGGCAACAATCATGCTGTGGTTTCTTTTGTATATTGAGTTTTTCTATATATCATATGAAAAAATAAAAACAGAAAAAAATACATTCCTTCCATATTATTCCAAATAGTTTTTTGCATATATGTTGTAAATTAAATTAGTAACATTTAAATTAGTGTAGTTAGCCATTTTAAAAGTTGGACATTAAACCCATGTGCAACACAGATTTCTAAGTAATCCTTAATTGTGACTCCTAGCACTAAAAAGTTTGTTCAGAAAGAATAATAAATTGTGCAAACCAATCATATTTGTTTTCTTATTAGTTTCTAAACTATTATATAAATGAATAGAAAATGGACATTAAAAAAGGTCCACCAAAATAAAACAAATATGTAAAATAATTTATGTCAAAAAAAAGAAAAAAGGAGCAAGAGAGAAGCAGAAAAAAGAGCCACTGTATCACAGGGCCAAAGAATCAATGTTGCCTTTTGAGCATCATATCTTTAAGTACTAGCTAAACCCATCAATTTGTTCCTGAAATCATCCAATAGTACAAAATAGTATTTTTGTATATTATTCTGGAATTTATCATAAGTTTATAGAAATATGTAGACGACATAATGGTTTTCTTTGATGGTCTTCATTCCTTTCATTTCTTGATGCTTATTCTTTGTTGTTGTTCCATGCCTTCCTGCAGTTTTACTAGTATATTCCAACAGGGTGATGTGGAATATGTTAAATGATTCTGAAGTATTGTAAGTTTGGTGGCTATGTTTACATTGAAAATAAATTTTAAGATAGTATTGTATGGAGCTGTGATGGTTATAAAAGACAGGATGATGGTCACTACAGGGTGACTGAAGCGCCAGCCCTTTTGCGGGTCTGTCAGAGTCTCAGGCACAGAATGGGTGGGGTTGTACTGATGCTGCTTTGGCCTCCTTAACTTCCTTGCACCCCTACCTGACACTATTATTCAAACCAGAATGGCAGATTGGAAAAGTATAATGTGCATCAAGAATAGAATTGATGTCCCAATGTCCCAACAACGGGATTAAATAACTGGGAAGAGTTACAGCTGAATGAGTTCATTATTAATTTTAAAAAGTAATTGTTTTGTCACACCAGCTATTAGGGAATCGCATTTGCTTCATCAGATTAATGGAGGAATTCCTTGTAAAAACTTTTATCCATTTGAAGGACAGAGGAAAGAGGAAGGCAGTTCTGTGGATTGCTTGAGGAGCCAGGAGGCACAGAAACAAAACTGCTTGATGTTTTTAAACAGAATAGTAAACTCTGGCTTGACTGACAATAGTTCTCTTTGGATCATGCGTATTACTACACAATATAAGCGATGGACATTGACCCTGCCTGGGTCCTCCTGCTGGCCCTTCCTTTCTAGCTTTTACTGCTCCTTTGTTCTCTTCTGTCTGCAGTGAGATTGTGTGAAATAAATGAAAGATGATGTCATGGTACTCTTGTTAAAGAAGACAAACACATCACTTGAAAAAGCATGTTAGTGTGTGTCCACCTTCAATACATGGGGAAGATACCAGAGTCTGCCGCTTGAAATGCCATGTAACATGTATGCTTATGAGATAATACCAGAACCTGATGTATTTTTAAAAAGAAATTTCTAGTTAAGTAAGGATGCCACATAAAAATGCTTGTTACTCTTCTATGAATAGTAATGTGCAAACAAGAAAAGGCTGCACATGTAAATTACTTCAGGGAAGGATAAAATACAAACATGTAGATGTGGGGCTGGCTCAAAAAATTGGGAAATAAAAGCTCAAAGTGCTGTTGGTTTTTTTTTTCTGATTACATCCTTAAAATGTGAAAATGGTTCACTTTTAGTC